TTCAGCCTGTCCACCCATCTATCCACCTGTATATCAGTGTTTGCCTTCACTGACAATGCAGTACTGTATGTGCAAAAGGGTTCATCTTTGTTGTCTGTACCTCCTATGCACTTCTCTGTGGATCCTGTTGGACTCAACCTCCTAGAATTATGTTTAGCTGTTGGAATAGTCCATCTGAAGTATTCACAAAGAGTAGGCCCTTAAGCATTAAGTAAGTTCTTTTCTCTGAAATGCTCTGCTCAGAGATAGTAGTAACAGAATCATAGCACTTGCATGGTGCTGTTTATTTGACAAAAAGCCAGTTTCAGGCTCCCAGTCTCATTGGATCCTCCCCAAGCCCCAGCAGGGAGGTTTGTTTCTGTGCCCATTTTGCAGACGAGGGCGGGGAAAGTTGGGCTCATCCAGCCAAGCAAGGGTCCAGGGGGGGTGGGAGGAGAGAGCGGCAGGAGGATCTGTCCCGTTGACTTGGCTTTTTTCTCTGTTTCGAAGTCAACATACACCGTCCTGGACTTCATCTCCTTCCTCTTCAACCAGCCATCCGCAGAGAGACCCTTCCTCTCTGCCCACAGCTCCTACCAGTGGGAGCTGCGCTTTGTCTCTCCCGGCTGCCCGCTGCTGCCCGCCCAGTGCCCCCGCGTGGCCGCCTACCTGGCTGCTGGGGCCCTGCAGCTCACCGCTTGTGTCATGGTCCTGCTGGAGACCTACGCCCGCCGCCTGCGGCACGCCATCGCAGCATCCTTCTTCACCGACCAGGAGACCAAGAGGGTCCGCTACCTTCACGCCAGGCTCCAGCGATGGTATAACAGGCACCGTTGCCAGCAGCCGCCCCTGGGGGCGCCTTCCTGCTCCCACACCTGAGTAGGCAGAACTACAGCAGGTGGATACTTTGAAGAACAGAGAGCAGGAGACAGAAGGAAAGAGCCGTGGCATCCTACGGCCCTGAGTTTTCATCCTGCTCCCTGTGCTGTGTGACCTTGGGTAGGTCTCTTCACCTTTCTGAGCATCTGTTTCCACATCTGGTAATGGCTGTGGAAACCATTGACGTGGCCTGCTTTCCACACAGCAATGTGGTAAGTGTGGAACAAGATACTGGCAGTAACTAACTCCTCGGTAAACAGTAAAAGCCTGTGCAAAGGGGAAATGACGGTGGAACGGACCGTTCACGGCTCCTCCACACCAGCTGGAAGGCAGTGAAAGCTCCCACCTCCATCAGCTGGTTTAGTAATTTGGTGGAGACTTTGCATGCTGAATTTGTACAAACCCTGGATCTTATTTATATGCCTCTGAATCCTCCTTGAACTTATTTATAGTAATTGAAAATTTCCTGATTTTTAAATAAATATATTTATTAAACCCAACATTAGAGCCTGTTGCTTCTTTGCATCCAACTCCTTCAAGGGCTTCCCATTTTTGCCAGGTTTAGTGCACAAAAAAATACAGGACACACAGTTAAATTTGAATTTTAGGTAAACGATAAGAATGAACAAATCCGTCTTGGAGGAGCTACAGCCAGAAAGCTGCTTAGAAGGAAGGTGAGACTTCATCTCAATTATTTTGGGCACGTCGTCAGGAGAAACGAATCGCTGGAGAAGGACACCATGCCTGGTGAAGCAGAGGGTCAGGCAAGAGGGACACCCTCAGTGAGATGGAACGACAGTGGCCACGACAATGAACTCGAGCATGGCAACGACTGTGAGGATGGAACAGTGCTTCATTCTGTCCTGCACAGGGTTGCTGTGAGTCGTAACCGACTCGCTAGC